AATAATATAAGATTGATAAAGGACTCTTATTATAAACATAAACGAAAAAAGTTAAAAGGACGTTGTAAGAGTCAAAAGAAATAATTTAAAACAACAATTAAAGAAAGAAAAACGCATATATGTAATAAATTAATTTCAAAAGAAAAAATTTCTTCGAAGATGTACATTAAAAATTAACAATATAAAAAGACTTGTTTAAAATTCGAAGATGTACCTTAAAAAATAACAATATTCACAAAACCTAAACGTTTCGACTCGTAGATTGAGTCTTTTTCAAAAGCGCAAACATATTCTTAAAGTTAAAATTTATCGAATTAATTCTGCGAATCCATCTTCATCACATCCAACTATTGTTCCTCTAGCGATTAGTAAATCCTAAGAAAAAAGTCAGCTATAAAAATTATGTAGATATGACAAGCTTTAGAATAAAAAAAAAAAATTAAGTCCATCAAGAAAATTGTACGTTAACAAAAATTGTAACAATATCAAACCTTTGGAGATGGGCAACATTATTCAAAGCTCTCTAAATCAATCAGTACACTCCGCAATATATTCGTCAATGTGTACTTTTTTAACGTCAAAATTATAAAATTGATATACATTATTCCGCCATTAATAAGTATGTGACGCCACTATGAGAGAGGATGTCAAAAAGTTGTAATAACGAAAAAAGTGAAAATACGGTGAAATAGATTAGCGGCGGGGGGGGGGGGGGGGACCAGGGGGAGGGGCGGGGGGGGGGGGGGCGGGGGGGCGAAGAAGGGGGGGGAGTGAAAGGTGAGAGAGGATGTCAAAAAGTTGTAATAACGAAAAAGATTGAATTACAGCGGAAGAGAGGGGAGGTGGTGGTTGGTGGTGGGGGAGGGGGTGAGGCGAGTGGAGGAGGTCCGGTGGGCCAAAGATGGTGGAGGTGCGAGTGAAAGGTAAAAGAGGATGTTAAAAAGTAACATTTCACTATCCGTCAAATAACGATATTTTTAAATTCGGACGGACAGACAGACAGACAGACGGACAGACAGAGAAGACGTTTCTTAATTTTTCATTAAAATCATCACTTTTCGACCGTTTGTATCTCCAGAACGGCTTGACCGATTTAAAATTTTTTTGTCTCGAATTACTCGTGGGGATGCCGCCTTTCAGGACATATGACGTTCGATTCAAAATTTTTTATATTTTAATAGTTATGCATCTCCCAATAATGGACTTTGATGGCTCGGGATAAGAGACTTGTAGCGTCTCACAGTTTTTTTGAACATGGCCGGAGACGCTACCGCGTCTCCTGATATGTGTGACAACACGATCATAATAGTCGAAGCAGAGGTTTTCTCTGCTCGACATTTTCTCGCGTTGCATACTCCAACTCACTCGGAGGCCCGTATTCAATACGCGCTTACAATGATGTTAGCGCTCTAACATGCTATAGTATACTCCACGCATACTATAATATTTCAGAGATAGAAACGCGTTTTTATCAATAAAAACATGTACTGAATACGGAATGAGTAGAAGTTGCCATATGTGTGATTGCATATGATAGATGTAAACAGCACGCGGTCAATGGCGGCGCACGGCCAGCGGTAGCGCAGGGCCAGTAGAGACCCTCTAATCAGAGTCGCGAAATAACGTTTCCAATTTTGATTGGTGCTGACATTTTTCAGCAAAAACCGGAAATAGTCATGGCGTCAAATTTAAGTCGACCTACATTCGCTGCCCATTTTGCTCATTTTTCAGGATTACGAGGAATGACTTTCATAATATAACCCTTTTTTACAGAATTATTGCAGTCTGGCGCAGAACAACCAGTCATTTTAGAAAATATAATTTTATGAAATACAGTATTAATATAAAAAATGTAATAATGTAATTTATGATAACTGTATTTAGATTCACATGTATTAGGTGTTAATATATCACAGTTATAGTCTTTTCATTGAAACTGCGATGGTGCTCGTACGTGCAGTAGTATTATATTTCTTTTCACGCGTGCACGTAATGTGCCCTACACAAAAAAAAATTCTATGTGTAACAGTGGGGGCATATTTGTTTATAGGTCGACACAGGCGCGTGTATGTACTCGCTTCGCTCGTGCCGTCGCGTCCGTCCCCACAATAAACAATTTTCCCCTACTGTTATACAATGTACTATAATCGCTACTTCCGGTTTTTGCTGAAAAATGGTATCGCCGACCTAACCTTATTGACGTTATTTCGCGACTCTGATTAGAGGGTCTCTACTCGGGGCCAGCGGCGGCGCGCGGCAGGCAGAGGGCGTAAGTGGACGGTCACAAATCTGTTGTACCGACTTCGATCAAGTTCGGCCGTAGCTCCAGCATCCCCTTAAGCCGGTTGCGCTTCTCTGATATCTAGGACTCTAGTTACAATTACAAGTCGATCGCAAGTTCGTTGCGACAGCCAATCTCAAGCTTGCATTTTGAAATCAACGCTTCAGATTGGCTGTCGCAACAAAGGGTCTGCGCACAATGGAGGAACAGATATTAGATATTAAAATATTAACCTATCAGATACCAGTTACCGAAATACACGATATTCTGATAGGTTAATATTTTAATATCTAATATCTGTTCCTCCATTGTGCGCAGACCCAAACTTGCGATCGGTTTGCAACTAATGTAGAATCGGTATTATGCGTCATGCAAAAGTCTGTGCTCCCCGCTATAGGGTCGCAACACACACTTTTACATATCGCATAACGCATAAGAGAATCAACCAATCGAAATGCTTCTCTTTCGTGAAGTGGGAGGTAAAGAAGGATTATGATTGGTTAATTCTCTTATGCGTCATGCAAAAGTGTGTGTCGCGGCCATCGGCATCTAAAATGAACCGCTGATGGCAGTGGTGTGGGTAGAAAAACGAGTAGAGAGAGAGACACATAACAGGAAAATCGTTCTTTCTCTGTTTACTGAAGCCTGATTGGTTGTTGTTAATCCAACAACCGATAACAGTAGTCTATGCTGTGACAAAGGAGATCAAACGATCTTCCTATTATCTGCCTCTCACTCTACTCGTTTTTCTACCTTCATCACTGCCATCAGCGGTCCTGATGTCGATGGTTGTGGCCCATAGGCAGTAAGAAAATCAATGTTGTGGATTAGCTACTGCTTATGTTACTGTCTAAGAGCCTAAACACACACTTTTGCATAACGCATAAACCATATACATAAAGAATTTGATTGGTCCATTGACTCATGCATAAGAAAATGGGCCAATGAAATTCCTTATGCACATGCTTTACGCGTTATGCAAAAGTGTGTTTGGGCTCTTACGTTCTCGATTGTAATTGGCTGACTCGCTTGCTGCTTACGTTTTATTGCCATAAGTTTTTTGTGTGTCATGGCCTTTAAAGCTTTTAATTCTAACTTTAACCTGCATTTAATAACAGTGGCGAGTTTAATATACGATTCAAAACGAATTAAACGTTTACAGCGTGCCAGGATTTTTTTAATATTATTTAATACGTGTATCAGCTTGGTCTGATATAGGCCTAGTTTACACCGAGTACTTGATACGCGTATTAAGTACTGTTGGAGATTCGACCGGGAGCGCAACATTAGCGCGTTGCGCTCTTGCCGCCGGGGCACGGGGATGCTCCGCCGAGCGGCGCCACGCTCCGGGCCTGCGAAGGCTCCGCGCATTTCGCGGGATGCGCGACTCGTCGCTCGCGTGCGCAGGTGGTCGCCGACCAATTAGCCGGTCGCTTAATCATTGGGTGACGTCATGATCGCCCAATTGCTCGCTCTGACACTAAATCCTAACAGACGCTTCGCCGGAAAGACGCGGTGACTGTTTCCGCAGAAGCTTCTTGTGCTATCTCTGAAACAAGCAACACGTGGCAAAGCGGCTCCAGATTTTCGCGGCGACCGCCTCGCTCCGAATCAGCGGCGAGTTGCGCATTCGCAATTGGCATAACCGGCGCGCTCCGACGCGAGTCGTTGTATAGTTAGAGTGAGTGCAAATCTCCGAGGAGCATTCGATGATGACTCTCTTCATTCCGGCGTGCTGAGTGCGAAAGTCCGCGCTATCGGCCATTGTGAGAGCCATCCGACTGCCGCTCTTTCCGTGACAATCGAAGTCGTGGAGCCGTCCGCACAGTTATCGCCCGACGGGCATTGACTTTGGCATCGCTTGCAAAGCGACTCAAGTGTAATTTTGACGCATTCGTGAATGAGCCGGACAAACTGAATTCCCGTCTCGACAAATTATTGGGAAAGTTCTGTGTGAAATAAAGTTGACCAGTTGTTCACTCCTTGTACTTTATTCTATCTCTCTCTCCTATTGCTCCACTCAGTGTGTCACGCGACGCACGAACCAACGCGAACATTGTCGCGATTATTCAAATTCGCTTCCGCGACATACAAAAAGTGGTCCTTCTAGCCGGATTGAGTGAGCAGAAGTACACAGTCAACAATAAGTGACGATGACGGACGTTCGAGAGAGGCAGCAGTTGTTGTTGCGGAGCGTAGGCCGAGTTCTCGACAACTTTAAGAAAATCGGCAAGAACAATTATACACCGGCCAAAGTGAGGTCGCGTATCAACGCCCTCAAGGAACTCTGGAGCCAGTGCATTCATTGTAATGCAGCGTTCATCAAGGCGTTTCCCAACGAGGAGACGGAAGCGGAGCGGGTTTTGGCCCTTCACGAGGACATCTTCCAGACAGCGCTTGACTACATGGCCGAGGTTTTGGAAGAAGTGGAGCCACCCGTGAGTCCGAATCAATCGTTCGCGTCCGTAGCTACGCGTTCCGACTCGTCTTCGCTATCGTTGCAGCATTTACCTCAGATTCCATTGCCGCCGTTTGCCGGTAAGATCGAGGAGTGGGAGACTTTTCGCGATAGATTTCATTCGTTAATTATTCAAAATAAAGAGCTGTCAAATTTCAGTCGCATGCACTTCTTAGCGTCAAGTTTAACCGGATGTGCTCGCGAAGTCATTTCGGACATTTCAATCACAGCCGAGAATTTTGATGTTGCCTGGAAGGCACTAGGTGCGCGTTACGAGAACAAACGTCGATTAATCGAGACTCACGTAGCAACGTTTTATAATCTTCCGGCGATGTCGCGTGAATCGGCGTCCGAATTGCACGCTCTTCGAGATAAGGTCGACAAAGCGCTCGCGGCGTTACAACGTCTCGATCGATCATCCGAAGACATCTTGAACGACATCCTCGTTTACTCACTGTCACAAAAACTCGACCCGGCTACGCGACGCGCGTGGAAGTTGAGATTAGGCAGCGACTCTCTCCCTCCTTCGTATCAAGGCCTTGTTAAATTTCTATCATCGCGTGCTCACGCTCTCGAAGAGCTCAAACCGATCGCGACATCCAAATCGGCGCGTCAAACTGCGACGAGTTCTGCCGCGTCAGTCGCGTCGGAAATAAAGTGCTCTCTTTGTAAAAAGAATCATCTGTTAAGTAAATGTCCGCAATTCGTCGGCAAAAGCTCTAGTCAACGTCGCGATATCGTCAAACAACAAAAGCGGTGTTTCAATTGTTTGAGTGAGAAACATGCAGTCAATTCTTGCCAAAGTAAATTATCTTGTCGTACATGCCAACAACGGCATCATACAACGTTGCACGTTGACTCGCCTTCTCCGACGAATGCGAGCGCGACCGCGGTCGACGCGAGCGCGGCCTCGCCCTCCCCGGCTTCCGACCCGGTCGTCGTTTGCTCATCCGTCGCATTGACTGCGAATCCGTCGCCGGTCTTACTCGCGACGGCTCAAATCATCGTAAACGCTCCGTCGGGGCGCTCGGTGCAAGTCAGGGCCCTGCTCGACCAGGGTTCTGAGGTAACGTTGGTCACTGAACGAGTTGTTCAAACTCTGCGACTTCGTCGCATGCGGACACTCACGTCCATTTCTGCGGTGGGCTGCGCTTCCGCCGGAACGTGTCGACACGTCGCGCAACTTAAATTTACCTCGCGCGATGGCTCCGGTCCGGCGTTCTCGACGCTCGCATATGTTTTGCCGTCTCTCACCAAATACGTACCGCGTGGCACTCCTCTCAGCTCAGCGTGGACACATCTCGCCGATCTCACATTGGCTGATGCTGACCCCACCGGATCGGAACAAATCGATGTGCTGATCGGAGCTGATTTGTTCTCGCAAATTCTCATCGACGGTGTCCGCAGGGGACCCGCCGATCAGCCCATCGCTCAGAATACCCACTTAGGCTGGGTTCTTTCAGGCCCTACGGGGGGCACAGCGGTTCCTTCCTGCCAGATTGTTGCTAATCACTGTTCGCTCGAACATGATTTACGCAAGTTTTGGGAACTCGAGGAGGTCCCTCAAGTAGACCTCCCCCGAAGACAGGCAGTGCGAGGAGCACTTTCTCTCAACGCACACGCGCGACTCCGAGGGGCGGTACGCGGTGCGTCTTCCTTTTCGCAATGGCCCTCCTATCGATATAGGCGAATCTCGGTCAAACGCGAAGGGGATGCTCACGGGATTAACTCGTCGTTTGTCGCGTAATCCGGATTTAAAAGAAGCTTACTCCGCATTCATGTCAGAGTACGAGGAACTCGAGCACATGAGTCGAGTGCCTCCTCCATCGTCCGATTCGACACAGACAGTCTATATCCCGCATCACCCAGTAATTCGGGAATCCAGTTCCACGACGCGTGTTCGCGTGGTGTTCAATGCCTCCTGCGAAACCTCGAACGGAACGTCACTCAATTCTCATCTTCTCTCGGGACCAAAACTCCAAGCAGATTTGGTCGCTGTTCTCTTGCGGTGGCGGCAGCACAAGTACGTGTACAGTGCCGACATTGCAAAAATGTACCGATAGATTATGGTCGACCAGCGCGATCGTAATTATCAAAGAATTCTCTGGGTCTCGGATGACCAAACCGTTCGAGATTATCAATTGGCGACCGTCACATACGGCACTGCGTCGGCGCCATTTCTGGCTCTTCGTGTTCTGAAGCAGCTTCTTGTCGATGAGGGTGACCGATTTCCTCTAGCTTCAGCCGTTCTCAAAGATAACATTTATGTGGACGATGTGCTGTTCGGGGCTGAGGACATTCCGTTGCTTCGTCAGGCTCGAGATCAAGTCTGCTCGCTCCTTCAGAGTGGCGGCTTTAAATTACGAAAGTGGGCGAGTAATCGCGCCGAGCTTTTGACTGACATTCCGTCAGACGATCACGGCCTTGCTTGCAACAAAATTATGCAGCCTGACGAGCGACTGAGTGTTCTCGGATTGTCGTGGACACCAGCGCTCGACGTATTCCAAGTGCATGTCCACGTTTCGCCCGAGGTCTCTAAGACCAAGCGGGCAATTCTCTCGACTATTGCCAGGCTTTTTGACCCGATGGGCTGGGTCGCTCCAGTCATCGTCGCGGCAAAAATTCTCATGCAGCAACTGTGGCGCTGCGGATGCGGTTGGGATGACAAAATCCCGCCGGATGTTCAGTCGCGTTGGACATCCATCTACCAATCTCTGTCAAGCATCGACGGCTTGACGCTGCCTCGATGGACGAGTCGCGGTTCGGACACGGCCGGCTGCGAGCTGCACGGATTCGCCGACGCGTCCTCCGTCGCTTACGCCGCTGCCGTGTTTATGCGCGTCACGTCTCTATCCGGGGAGGTGGTCGTGACGCTCCTGGCCGCCAAATCAAAGGTGGCGCCAGTCAGGCCGACGAGCGTTCCGCGGCTCGAGCTGGCGGCGGCGGTGCTGCTCACTCGCTTGATGGATTTTGTGCGAGTCTCACTCGACATTCCTACTCTCGCGTGTCACTGTTGGACCGATTCTGCAGTAGCGTTAGCCTGGTTGAGTCGCGATCCGTCAAGCTGGAAAACTTTTGTGGCTCACAGAGTTGCGTTCATCCGTTCGAGGTTTCCGCCCTCTCAGTGGTGTCATGTTCCGACAGCCGACAATCCCGCCGACTGTGCGTCAAGAGGATTGCTGGGTGCGGAGCTCGCGTCACATCCCCTCTGGTGGCGGGGACCGTCCTGGCTGAGGCTCGGGGAGAGTGACTGGCCAGTCAGAGACTTCGGCAGTCAACTCAATCCGTCGCCCCGCGAGACTCGGGCGGAGGCACGCACTACCGTTGGGCAGGCGGTAGTGGACGAGGGTTGGGACCTAGCGTCCAGATTTTCGACATGGCCCAGGCTCGTTCGAGTCACGGCTTATGTCATGCGTTTCGTGGACCGCTGTCGTTGTGGCCGGGACGCGAATGTCGCCGATAGCTCCCCGTCGAGCGGTCTCACCGCGGACGAGTGTCAGCGCTCCAAGCTTTTCTGACTGAGATACATTCAGACGGAGTCTTTCCCTGGCGAGCTGGCGTCGCTGCATAAGGGCCAACCTCTCCACTCCAGAAGTCCTACTCTGCCACTCAATCCATACCTCGATAGCGACGGCGTTCTGCGCGTCGGCAGGCGGTTGGAGAATGCGCCTCTTCCTCTACGTTCGCGTCATCCAATCCTTCTCAAAAGTCATCCGCTTGTATCTTTAATAGTCAAACATGCACATATCAGAACTCTTCATGCCGGAGTTAAGCTCACTCTCTCCACAGTGCGGAGAGAGTATTGGATCCTTCGTGCTCGCTCACTTGTCAAGTCAGTCATTCATAGCTGTGTTCCTTGTGTGCGAGAACGAGCTGCGGTGCCGACTCAACTAATGGGTCAGTTGCCGCAGTCTCGTGTAACTGCCCCCAATCGAGCTTTCCTTCACTGCGGCGTGGATTATGCCGGACCAATCGCCGTCAGAGCGTCGGGGGGACGAGGGTACAAGTCTCACAAATCGTACATTGCCGTCTTTGTGTGCCTAGCTACTCGCGCTATCCATCTGGAATTAGTGGGAGGATATTCCACCACAGCCTTTCTGGACGCGTATGCTCGCTTTACCGCGCGACGGGGATTACCGGGGGTGATGTATTCGGATAACGGCACGACTTTTACGGGTGCCGACCGGGAATTGAAACGGGCCTATCAAGATGCCCTGAGGGACCCGACCTTTCAGAATAACATCGCTTCCGACCGCGTCGCCTGGAAGTTCATGCCCCCTCATGCTCCTCACTTCGGCGGGCTGTGGGAGGCGGGCGTACGTAGCCTCAAGCATCACTTGCGCCGCGTGGTGGGTACGCATACTCTCACTTTCGAGGAGCTGACGACGCTTCTCTGTAAAATTGAATCTTGTTTGAATTCGCGACCGCTCGGTCCTCTCTCGGATTCGGTAGACGATTACGATGCTCTCACACCCGGTCACTTCCTGGTCGGTTCAGCCCTCAACATGTCTCCCGAACCATCCGTTCTTAATCTGAACGAAAACCGACTCTCGAGGTGGCAACGAGTTAGACAACTTGCCGAAAAGTTTTGGAAGCATTGGCAGCACGATTATGTGAACACGCTGCAACAACGGAGTAAATGGCGGCAAGCGCGACCTTCCGTCCGAATCGGAACGATGGTACTACTGCGCGATTCTACGTTGCCGCCTTGCCGGTGGGCTCTTGGTCGAGTGGTGGCTTGCAACCCGGGCCTCGACGGACTAGTCCGAGTAGTTTCCGTTCGGACCGCTCAGTCCGAGTACAAGCGGCCGCTCACGAAATTGTGCCTTCTGCCAGTTCAAACTGAACTGCAACCGACCAAACCGGATGCGCCGGATGCGTCAACCTTGTTGCACATCTAGTTAAGTCGTTAGAATTAAGCTCAATATGTGTATAATATTCAGCGCTTTCAATTAAGTTTTTTCTGTGTACATAATCCTCACCGTTCTCTAATGATAAGCCCAGTTAAGCACGCTTCAGCGTCAGCTCAATTTTGTTGAAGGCGGGGGCTCGTCATGACAGGGCCTCATGGCGGGCGGCCTCATCGCTTGATTCATTCGCGATTGACCGAGCGAAACTCCGGCTGCATTCGCCTCGGGACGACTTTCTTAGGTCTCTCTAAGACCTTCAGCTGTCGCGCACTGAACGCTGAGCGTTATTTCGAAACCGTCGTTTCGAGGCGGGCGGTATGTTGGAGATTCGACCGGGAGCGCAACATTAGCGCGTTGCGCTCTTGCCGCCGGGGCACGGGG